ATAAGTAATTAAGGTATGTTTTTCAGTTTTTATCCATTCATCTCTTGTTGCAAGGTAATAAACTGGAAGTGTAAAGAAAAAGAACTAAAAAGATTAGTGATAAGTCGAAACTTATTCAAAAATGTTTCATCATCCAAGAAAATGAAGTTTTGCCTTACAGGCTCAGGAGTTTTCATTTGTATTGCTCATTTCCATTATTTTTAATCCAAAATCCATTTTGATTTTTTATCAAAGTTACCTACAAAATATATATATATAAATCATTTGTGTAAGGTAACAGCATTAAATAATTGTTAAATTTTTTGTTCCATGCTCAGATGATTATTATAATTATTATTATTATTCTGTTTGAAATTAAAGTTTTTTTCTTTATTATTTGTTAAAAAGTTTTCAAGTGAATTATTTTAATTATCTTTTTAATTACAGTTTTATTGAGAATTCAGTATTAAAATATTATTTATAATAAATTTCTACGATAATATGTATACAAACTGTAACAAGTAAGTATAACAGTTAGTTTATAGTTTTATTTTTCTTTAATTTCTATATAGTAGAATCTTAATTATCTTTTTAATTACATAAAATTCACATTAATATCTTCCTAATTACATGATAGAATTACCTACAGTTCATTTTTTAATCAAATACTCTATAAATATTTTATTTTGATAGTTACTCAGTTTTTATCATCATCGAAACTTTCGAAAAAGTATTTTTATACAGGCAATATACCACACATTAATTGCACATTAGAGTGTAGTTTATCAGTAGGATGGATAATCAAGGTTCTACTATGTAATAAATTTTTTGCAGCAAATTATTAAATTTGTTTTTTAAGTTATAGATTTATATAATTAATTTAGCCAAAAATCTATTTTTATAATTAATCTTGCCAATTGAATAAATGAGTGAAAAATAGATCTAGAATTGAATGTTCTTATCGAAAAGTTTTAAGATATTTTTTACGTATACAGTATTCGTATAAATTGAATCTTAGCATCTACATATATTAAATATTAAAAGCATTTTTGCAAGATAGCTATATATAAAAAAAAAGCTTTAAAAAAATTCAAAATGTATTATAATCAATTATACAATTATATTCATGTGTAAAAAAATTTCTGAGAAAGTTTACATTTAATATAGATCCCAGTAGTTTTGGATTCCATTTTTTTTTTATTGTTACTATGTAAATATAACATTTTTTAATCTTCCATGCATTAATACTTTCTCGTATTTATCTGAGGAGATAGAAAAATAAAAGTTGCCTTGTACTTTAGCAAATCTACAAATTCATAAAGTTAATTTTCATTTATAACTATATTTTTGATCAGAAGTGTAAATTTGAAAATTAAATAAAAAGAACATGTTTATCGTTAAAAGGGGGAAAAATATCAAAATTATTAGTGAATTTTCTTCCTTTATGAGACGTCAATATCCTAAAAAATCATCTTAACGTACGTATACAATGTGTCGGGAATCAACAGAAACGTTACGAAAGTAAGAATGCATTTCGTTGATTTTCATCGGAAAAAAATTTCTGCCATCGAGACTGACGTTCATAACAAATGTCATCTTGTATAAAACTCAAATGTGTTTTCTTTTTAGGTGAAATTATTATAAAAGAAAACATCACTGCCATGTTAATTATTAAGAAAAAATAATAATAAAATTGTAGAAATTTAGCTTTAAATATTCATTGTTTGTCATATAGCAAAAGTGAATGTTTGTGCTAAATGCTTCCTCTATATACTGTATTTCCAATCTTTATAAATAGCATATGGCATTATATAAATCTCATTGGAAACATTAAGGGGAAAGAATTCATAAATGGTACAAAAGAAATAACTTAATTTGCATTTCGAGTCATGCACCTTAACATTTTGGATTCACTCTCTCATAAAATAAAATTACTTCCTGGCTTAACTCAGGGATTTAAATTGTTTTTATTAGTTTATTTTAAATAGAAAATAAAATTTTAAAATCTTTTAAAAACAAATCAAATTATAAATTGCAATTTAAAATTTTATTATAAAAATTTTAAACAGGTGCATGACTTAGTCATCTATCAATTTTTTTTTTACTGTTAAGAGTGCCATTTATATTCATTTGATTATTGTTCTAAGTCATGTGGGCACAAAATTTAATTTATGTAATTTTGTCTGTTGTGAAAATTTATATTCTAGTCACTAGTATATAAATTTATGTTTACCAGTTTGTCTTCTAAATGATATATAATTGTAGAACAATGTCAAAAAAAAAGAGAAAAATCAGCATTTTGTAATAGTATTAAGAATGTCATTTTTAAAAAAGTGAAATGCCTTATAAATAAACATTTTTCATGCATTCAGAGTTTTGTCCTGGTGGTGTTTTAATTTCTTGTACAGTTTATTGTGTCGTATATGGGGTGTCCAAAAAGTTACCATGCGGTGAGAAATTTGTAATGACACTAAAGTTAAAGGACTCGTGTGCAATACCGTACATACTAGTCTTACTTTACATCCTAAGTTTCCACTTTGCAGTAGATGGCATTACTGCTTGCTCACAGATGTTATGGAATGCCTAATCACATTTGCCCATACACAGTTGATTGTGAGTGAGAGCACAGGTCCACATTGGCCAAGATTATGGTGTTGACAGTTAACTAGAGGCCTGACTCATCTTCAGGCCTTTGGGGGACGTTTCCGGCATTTGCTTAGGGGAAACTGCAATATTGTACCGTACATAAAACTTCACTTTTCCATTGCATGATAACTTTTTGGACACTGTGTGTGTGTTATATGAGTAGCATCTAGTCCCTAAGCATGAAATTGGTCCAGAGTATCCCAGTTATTGCCTCAAACAAATTCAAGAGACGTAATTGGACACAAATTCAATAAAATGTGGTTTGTCAAAAGCCCAGACTTAACAAATGATGATAATTTGCTTTAGTGTACAGTATTGTGAAAGTAAGATAGAAATTGTAAGATTCTTCATTGTAAGATGGAAATGAGACATTCTAAAATTGGCTAAGGGACAACTTTAATCGTTTCTAGCTGTGAATGTGAAAGAAAACATCCAAGAAAATGTAGAGAAAAATTAAAATTTGTATAGAGAATAGTGTGTGTGTACAGATATCTTAAAACAAACATATGTAGGGACACTGTGGCACACTATAATTTTTCCTTTTTCTTACTTTATAAAATCTCTATTAGGAATAGATATTTTTATATTATCTATTTGAATATGATGGTTTTGAATTTAAAAACTTGTATCATCTTTCTCTTCTCTGTAAACCTTACAAATAAGTTTGAGAATTTCAATACAACACTTGTAAAGTTTACAGAGAAAAGAAAGAACTTAAGCACTCCTTATCCATATAATAATCATATATCATATTGATTTCAATTATTTTATCTGTAAGTCCACCAGTGGCCAACAGTTGCAGGTTTCTGTCTTCCAACTTCTGGCCATTTGGGGGTTGCTTTACTGAGTTTTTTTTTTGGTGTGTCTAACACTTACGTAGGAGCCAGTTTTCCATGAAAAGTCCTTCCAGCAGGTACTTGGATACTACC